TGGGGGGGTCCCGTACCCCTTAACCCCCCTTAGATCCCTCTGACCCCCCCAGGTCGCCGTGGAGCGGCTGCTGAAGGCCAAGGCTCAGCAAGCCCCGGGATTTGGGGGTCCCGAGGGGTCCCCCCGGCACAGCCCCCCCGGCCTTGACCCCCTCCCCGAGCTGGGCTTGGGCCGCCCGTTGTTACCGGGGGGCGCTGCCGCCGCATCCTCCTCCTCCTCCTCCTCCTCCTCCTCCTCCTCCTCCTCGTCGTCGCCGTCACTGCGGGACATGTACCGCGAGCTCTACGACTTCTTCGGGGACAGCCTCGCCGCCCGCTTCGGCACCGGCGCCCCCGCCGACCCCCCGAGCCCCCCGGGCGCGGCCGAGGGCGCCCGCAAGGAGCCGCCGGCCGAAGGAGCCGCCCGCAAAATGCCGCAGCTGACCAACGCCACGGTGAGCCCGCGGGACGAGGAGCCGGCCCCGCCGCGCCCGGAGCGCCCCGCGCTGCACCGAGCCCCGGGCCCGCCGCCCCGGCCCCGCGGCGCCCCCCGCGCCCCCGCCGGGCACCGGCCCGGCGCTCGGGACGTGTTCCACAAGTGCCGCTTCGCCCCGCGGGGCCCTCCCCGCTTCAGCTTCGTGATCGCGGGCCGCCAGACCGGGCGGCGCTGCCCCGGGCGCCGCTTCCAGACCAGCTTCCCGCAGCCGCCCGCGGCCGCGCTCGGCTCCCGGTACGCGCAGCGGCTGCCGATGATCGGCCGGACCGGGCGGGCCCCGCGCCGCTGGCCCCGCGCCGAGTACTCGCTGCTGCTGCTGCTCTGAGCCCCGCGGGCACCGGCAGGCGCGGGGCGGTCATTAAAGGGTGCCTGGTGGTCAGTGAGTGCTGGGCAGTGGGCAATAAAGGGTGTCCAGTGGTCAGTAGAGAGGGTGTGGTGGGCAGTGGATGGCGTGGAGTGGTCAGTGGAGGGAGTGTTGGTGAGTGGATGATGTGAAATGTCAATAAGGGGCATGGAGTGGTCATTAAAGGGTGTCCAGTGGTCA